GGCCTCAGAAAGGGAAAATGACACCTAGTGTGAGTGGAGAACAGCAAGAAAAAATATCAAAGCCTCAAAAAAGGACAAGCATATATACAAAATACATTATCTCTTTCTCCTGTTAATTAATATATTTAATTGTGAATCTTCAGTCAAGGAAAAGAAAGGACAGGGAAAGCTTTAGAGTATCAGAGAAAACAGGAAAAAAATGGAATAAGAAAGCCAAAAGATACTGCCCTCCTTTCTCTCTTGCCTCCAAGAGAAGGCAAGCCAGGAGTTAGCTCTGTCATGCGTATTTTCCTAAACAGCTGAAAGACAGAGCGCTTTTCCCTTTTGCTCCCTCCTGTGCAACAGGCACCACCATCACCAATGGGAGGGAGAAACAAAACAGTGATTACAGACGTGTGTGCTTTGGGAACAGACAAGATGCCTCGGTTTGACATGCTGCTTGGAGTTGTTCTCTCTGCATTTCCCGTGGGCATTTCCCCAATTCAGTGACCCAGAAGAGGCCAATCTCCTGGTTCTCAGCGCTCAGCCGAGGAAGGACAGCTCTGAGACACCCTGGTGCCACCTCTGGCAGGACGCCGGTGGCTCTTGGGTGGCTGTGGGCACTGTGGTGTGCTCCATGTGCGTGGCAGATGTGTTCCTCCCACAGGCATTTCTGCTGGCTCCCTGCAGCACCTTTGAGCACTTCCCCACCTCTTCACCTCCCACCCCTGCAGGCTCCTGCTCTGCCTCTACCACCTGCCCATCCAGCGCAGCAGGAGGGCCAGGGCTGCTCTCCTGTGGTGCTGGCAGGGTTCACGTGCTTTGGCAAAGTGCTCCCAGCCCTTCTTCTCTACAACTGGCTTGGAGAGCTGGAGGATCAGTCAAAGGTATGGCCTCTGTTCCTCTCGGGAGAAAGGGGAGGCTGTTGTATTAGCTTTTGGGTGGAGATGGGCCACCTTCTGGTTGCAGTAAGTTTTGTGTTATAGTGACGTCTCCTTAAAACCCTGAATTCCCCCAAAGCACATAAGCACAGGCATTTACCCAATATTTCCAGATGGGAGAACTGCTAGCCTCCTTCTAGGTAAGGAAGACACAGCGTTATCCAAAGGTATGACCTTAAGCTGTTTTATGTAAGCAGATGCAAACTTATTTAAATGCTCTTAAATCAAATGGGAAGAGGTGTAGCCCAAGCTGCTGTAAACTGTTCTTAAATGGAAATCATGTCAACCTTTTGAACTGCCATGGGCCCTGAGTAGGAGCACACGACTGAAAGGAAATGGTTTATTGTTCCTTCCAATGGTGCTGCCCACCAGCTACCTGAAGATATCCCACACCTCGGCTGCTGGCCATCAGTTGGCAGTGACTGCCCTGCGGCTCACCCCGTGGATGGAGAGTGTGTGCTCCCTGACCTGCTTCAGTGCAATGCAGCTAGAGTTCCTTAAAGCAGTATCATTAGCAAATTGAGTTAAGACAGCTAACTTTGCATGGGAGCAGAGGAGGATCACTCGTAGAAACATTTCTGCTCACCAGGAGATCCTCTTCAGGAAGGAGGGAGTAACCATCCGTGGTAATTGGCAACATATTTAATTGCATCCTCTTTGAGGTTTGCAAAGAGGATATGTGCCTAAGGCTTGTGGGTTAAACAGCTGGTTTACACCAACCCCTTGTACTTCTCAGGAGAAAAGCAACCATGCTCAGCTATCACCGTCCTGCTGATAGCCTTTTGCCTTCAGTCTTGGGCTTCAACCAATAAACTGCTTAAAGCATACGTATGACCAGCTGATGTGTAAGATGAGATGGTGAAGGCTTCTGCATAGCCAGCAGAAGCTTGGGCAAGGCTCAACAGCAGCAGCTGTCCCAAGGGCCTCACGGTGCTGTCCGGGCCCCACTGGGTTCTCAGAAGTGGCTCGAAGTGCTGCCCTCGGATGCTGCTGGGTGTCTGCCTGCTGGCCTGAGGTCGCCACACCTGGCGGTCTGGAGCCTCACTGGCTAGTGACTACCTAAAGATACTGCTTGGCATTAGTCCTAAATATGTTCCTTCAGAGTTGAAAGCTCTTTGTGAGCATAATCTGCCAGTCCAAACAGAAGAAAATCTCTATTTGGTCTGAAGAGCAGAACTTGGCATAGTTTCCAGGGGAAAATGCCAAGTACACAAAGCTGCTTGCTCTCCCCAAAACAGGCATGACTGTTCCTTAACTTTGCTAAGGCACATCTGGCTGTCATCTCAGCACATCTGTATCCTATGATTTACACAGTTTTCTCTTGATGTTTTATGTGGTTTTATGCTGTGACGAGGCTCTGGAAAGAACAAAAGTGCATCATGCTGCCTCTCAGAGTCAGCTCTCTGGGAAACTTCCTAGGGACCTAGTAAAGTTATTTGGGACCTCCTCTGGAGCCTGCAGCAAAGCATTCCCATAGCCTTTCCAGGAGAAGTTAACATGGCAGCAAACAGAGTCATGGCTTGTGCGTAATCCACATGCATCACTAAAGCACTGCAAAGGAAAACTCTCTGCAGCACCTCAGTTCTTTTTCATTGGCACATTCGAACACTGTTGCTCTGACAGAGACTTACAAGTCACCCTTGCTAACTTTTTATACTTCAGAGCCAGTTGCGGGCCTGACTGATCTGAGAGTTTCAGCCAGGCAGTCTGTCAGTTCTTATTACAGGTGGGATCCCACCATGCACGGGTACCCAGGTGACAAGAATGGAGCCTATGAGCATTGTTCAAAGCCACAACGGTTTCCTATCCGACAGTGACTAGTTACTGAAGGGTTGTGCAGCTGTTATATCCCCTCCCCAGCTCTGCTGAAGCTGAAGCCAGCTAAAAAGGATCTCCTTGCTTGGACTGGAGAAGGAACTCGGAAGAAGATGAGGTGATTCTGCTAATTACGCCACATCTCCAATAGTCGTAAAGCCTCCAGGATGCAGTCTCACTGGTTAGCATTCAAGAAGTGCTGGGATCAGCAGATTATTATTACTTTTTAAAGAGGAAGAATTGGGTGGTACATAAGTATGATCTGGTGGCTTCAGTCTGACACATTAAGCTCCCCTGCCACTTGAATGTTAGGTGATCAGGAGAGGCTTCTCGAAGAGTATTGATATGGTCAGAAGAGGAACAAGAGTGATAGGAAAAAGTGGAAAAGGTGTCAAAAAGCATGGTATATATCCAGCAGCATGTTAGTCTTTCTGCTCCTTTTTTAGTTCTTTTCCTTCTTTTCTTGCAGAAGGCTCTATAGAAGATAAATGTGAGAACTTGTCTTTCAGAAGAGTAACATCCACAGTGAGTCGTCTTCCTTCTGTTTCCTCCTGCAGACAGATTAGTTAAAACCTGCTCCACCCACACACGGGTTTATCAGTGGGAGAGAAGAGGGAATTACCCACTGTCTTATGCTGCGCAGGAATGGAAATGTTTCACAAACTGTCAGGTAGCACATTGGGTCTACTACACTAGTAAGGAATTTCCTAAATGATATTGTGTTCGAGTGGGAAATTTGTTCCCAAATGACAGAGACTTCCCAGATAGATATTACTGGTCTTCTTTTTCAGCATGGTCTTCTTTTTTACCCACACCTCTGTATTTCCAGCAGCTCTGCAGTGGAACAGAAGGGTGAGGGTGACCAGTAATTTTGTGGTGACTCTCAGGGTAATGTTTTCAAGTAGTTGCGGACTTCAAAAGGGTACAGCTGTAAAAGGAATACCTTTGGGAGCATGCTCATAGTACTCCTGGACATCATCGAGAATGACTTTCACACCCACATCTCCTCTCCCCCTAAAGCTGGATGATTACTATTACATGGTATCAACCAAGAGCAAACAATGAGACAGGCACAACCTTTCATAAATTGTGGCAATTTATTTTAGTGCTCGATAGTGCTATAGGTTTCAGGGTATTAAAGGCCATAGGATAAAACCTGCCCTGCCAGTGGGAAGGGAGTGTTTCCTACCTGGAAAACAAAATAAAACCAAACCAACAAACTAAGCAGAACACAACTTCCATAGTTTCATTCTAGGACAGCTGTTAACTCACTGTATTTACTGTCTGGATGGGAACTGGCTCTGGCTTACCCAGAGCCAACAGGGACAGCAGCATTTCCGAAGTTGTGCGTCTGGGCACAATCGATAAGTCTTTAGAAGCAGTGTTCAAAGCTGACAACCCTGCTTAAGTTAAGGATTGTGAGAAGCCCCCAGAGGGCAGGGGCTAGAAGCCAAGTGCATAATGGGAGGCCAGCCCCAAAGCGAGGCCCCACTAATGAGTGTTTAGTAACTAATCGAGATGAATGAGGCTGATGTTATTTCTGCATCTAGCCATAGCAACTGTTGGTTAATACTTAGGCTGTAGGAACAGTCTTCTTGCACGTTCCTCTGATCTAAATGTGGATCTCCAGCCAAAAAGCATTTCGCTGTCGGGAAGGGTACTATGTGGTGCACGGTGGCCCTGTCAGGTGTGACCTCTGGCCATTCAGGGTGCAGGAGGGTCGCCCTGTAGCCTTCTGGGCTCCATGAGCAAGTGGGGAGCCACGGAGTGGCTGGGCTAGGCCAGGCCGCCACCAGAAAGTGTCCTCCATGCTGCTGCCTGCAGCCTAAGTTTTTGTCAGAAGCATTCTACCTTGAAACGATAAAACGTTTGGAATATTTTTGGAGGGTTTCTGTTCTGTCATTGCATCCATCTCCTTTGATTTAATTCAGCACGTTCGCACTGAAGACAGTGCTGCCTATGCCTTCGTGCTCTCTCCTCCCGTCGATTGCAGCCGTTGCCTGTCTGTGTCTGCAGCTCACCCATCGGGATGCCGGGGCTGGGTGCCCTGGAGGTCCCGCGCGGTGCCTCCAGTCTCGGGGACGCCAGGCTGCACCGGGGCGCTGCCGGAGCTTCGCGCCGTGCCCGCAGCCAGCCGTGTCACGCAGGCGAGGGGTGAGGACGCGACACCCACGACCGGGGCGCACCGGGAGCCGCGGCGGGGGCCGGCAGGCCCAGCTCCCCCCCCCCGCCCGCCCAGGAAACCGCCCCGAGCGGCGGAGGAGGCCGGGCGCGTAGGGGGCCGGCCGGTTCCGCGCCCCGCTGCTGCCGTGCCTCGCCATCCCTCCCGGCACGCCGGGCCGCGCCCGCTGCCCGTGCCGCGCAGGGGCGGGCGGCGGCGGCGGCGACGGGGGGGAGGCGGGCGGGGGCGGCGCTGCGGCGCCCGGCTCGGCTCGGCTCGGCTCGGCTCGGCGCGGCGCTGGGGAGCGGAGCGGAGCGCGTTGGCCGCGATGGGCGCCTCGGCGGCGGAGCGGCGGCGGCGGCGGCGCGGGGAGCTGCTGCGGGGGCAGCTGGGCGCCCTGGCCGCCCTGGCTCTGCTCCTGGCCGGCTGCGCAGCCGGCCGCGGCGGTGAGTAGCGGCGGGGCCGGGGGCTGCCTCCGGGGGGCGGCCGGGCCGCGCCGCCGCCTCCTCCTCGTTCTCGTCGTCCTCCTCCTCTTCCTCCTCCTTCTTCTCCTCTTCCTCTTCCTCCTCCCGCCGCGGCCCCTCGGCTGCCCCGGGAGCGGCGGCGGCGGGAGGCGCCTGGGGGCGTTGGGGCGAGCCCGCGGGGGGCTCCCCAGGGGCTGGGGGGGCGGACACGGCACTTCCCGGCAGCGGGGTCCCGGGGGGCGGGCGGCACGGGGCGGCCTCGCGGGGAGGCGGCGGGTCCCGGTCCCGGTCCCGGTCCCGGTCCCGGTGCGGGTCCTGCCCCGCCGGCGTCGCGCCTCGCAGTCGCGGAGCAGCCCTCACGCCAGGCTCGTTTCCCCGCGGCGGAGCATCGCGTCCCTCTCCGCGGCTCGGATTTGCTTTTTAAATAAATAGACGCGTCTTAAGGGGTGTCTGGCGTGCTGCGAGGAATGCTGCGCTGATGTTTAGGAAAGAGTGCAAACGCTATCTGGGACCCGAGCACGGTGTTTTATGGAGTGAAACAATGCCTGGATGGGTTTTTAAGTTTTTGGGCTTTAATTCCTTCAGTTAATCAGATTTTTTGCCTTTTTTTTTTTTTTTTATATGTGCATGTACTGAAAGTTATCCGTGTTTCTCACAAAGGTGGTGGTTGGTTGCCTCTGCAAGTGAGGTGAGGAAAGGTAAATGTCAGCTCATCGTGAGCAAACAGCAGTGCATGTGTGCGCTGAGGTACACTTTTGCCAGCACACATGCGGTGTACACCAGCGTGTGACGTGCATGCCAGCACTGTGAAGGCCACCAGTGGCAGCATGCTTGCCTGATGTGCCCCATGCGGAGGCCAGGAGTCAGCTGCAGTCCAGCTGCCCACTGCTTGCCCATGCCATGTGATACGCTTTCAGGTGGTGCGGCAACGCAAAATTCAGACCTGCTCTAAACTGGGCACAGGGAGCACTCATCTTTCTGAAGGGTGGTGTGAACTCCCATCCTCTGCTTTGCTCTTCTTGAGCATGGTATTCCTGCTGATGTGAAAGGGAGCTCCATCCATTGAGTGAACGCGACAGAGACTGCAGAGATCCATACTGCAGATAAATTTTTTCACCATTTTACTAAAACTGCCCAAAGTGTTCCCTAGCAGGCACTGCTAGCCCTTGTTGGGGCTCTCTTTGTTCTGATTCAATTCATGAGAGCATCTCACATCGTCTGTGACTGGAGCTAGCTCAGAATAAATCCTGTATTAGAGGTAGCATTTGGTGCGATCGATGTAGCCCCCTGCATGCTGGTGGCTGCACAGAACCAAAAGGGAGATGAGAGGAATGGTTGCGCGGGTGGAGGTTTTGAACAGCACCCTCTGGGTCTGCTGCCTCATCATCGGGACGCAGGTTGCTGGGCTCTATAGGGGTGGTGGTCACAGCCTGCAGCCTGCGTGCTCTAGAGCTTGTGTCGTGGTAGGGGGTGGAAAGATACATTTTAATTTATCAATTTGAAATTCTCTCCTCTAAAACAATGTGATTTTGGAGGGAACGCAAACTTTTGTCTGGAGTTTAGCACCTTTGTGTCACATCACATCACCCTTCCTATCCCTGAGGCTGGATTGCAGGGGTCAGCAGACTCAGCCTCTGCTCCTGGGGCAATGCTCAGCAGATTGAGGATGTGGTCTTCAGAATCTGATGGTGCCGTGAAGCTGGTCATGGTATTCGCTGGGGTGTGGTGGGGCATGAGCGGTCCCATGAAAGCTTTGCGTCCAGGCGCCAGCCAGCTCAGCAACCCCACATTTGAATCACCTTTTAGATCATATATTCTTGCTTTTAATGCTTCTGTTTTCCTTGGTTGGTCTCATTACCCTCAGTTGCCATCTCTGTGCCAGCTGAGGTGGCCACAGCCTGGATCCAGAGGAGTGCAGCTTTTGAATTCATGGGTAACCTGTGGTTGCTGAGGGCTGTGAGGTGCTGAGCCCTTTTCCAAAGGCAGATGTGCCTGCGTCTGCCTGCAAGGAGTAGGCTGGGGCTCTTTCTGTGGAGGCAGGTAACCACACTGTCTGGTGGGTGCGCTGTTGGGAGCAGATGGCTCCGGAGGACAGAGTTCAAGCTCTGGGTTTCTCTTCTGGTGGCTCTGGTGCTTCTCTGCGTGACTTGGTCTCTCTGGGTCTCGTTTGGCCAGGTCTCTAAAACGAGGCCTGCTTTTTAAGCCACTTTGAGATCTCCTGGTGCTAAATGATGTGTAATAGCAAAGTGCTGTAATGTTGTAATGTTTATATGAAGGTCGTTCCAGAGGCCTTTATGTTCTACAAGGCTTGGGCATTCCAAAAATGTATAAAGCGCAAGTTAAGAAGAAATCCAAGTTCACAAAGTTCATCCTAGCAGTAAAAGTACAGCTGGATTGCCTCTTTCCCTCTTCCAGGCACAGCGTAAATCTGTGGTTGTGCTTTGACTTCAAGGAAGTCGCACTGGTAAGTCAGAGGTGTAACTGAGAGTAAATCCAGCTCTACAGACCCAAAACACAGTAGCCTGGAATGCCTTGTGCTTTTCAGTCTGCTGAATGGGACTGGAGCTGAAGGCAAGTTCTAAAAACCATCTCATTAACTTGAACAATATAAGTGACTTCTAAAACTGCCCAAATCTGCCATCCTTGGAGAAAGAGACAAAGTATGAGTTTTTTTTCTATTTTTTTTCCCCCCCCCACATCAATCTGACCCTTAAGATGTCACTTGTAAAGAGAGGTGTGAGTGGAGAGGATCTTTCATTTCATAAGACCATCTTTCAAACTGCAATGATTCATTTTTTTTGAGAGAAGCTTCTGAGTCAGGCCTTTTATCAGGTTGCTCTCACGGGCAGGAGAAACAACAGGAGCAACAGTCAGTGGGATTTTTTTCTTCTTTCTGTGCATGCTTGTTTTTGGCAGGATGGTAAGGAAAAGCTGGGTCTGAATCTGCAGCCCTTACTCATGGGGATAGGCACATCCAAGCAAACGGAATTGCCTGCATGATTCAAGCATGGAAGATCTGGGTTGCTTTTAAGTCTTGTTCTAACTTGACAGGAATGAAGCACTCAGAATGGTGAGGCAAGGCCTGCTGGGTGCGTTTTGACTAGCCCTGGGACTTACTCTTAATCCAGAGCTCCGGCTGTTCTCCCAGGATGGCAGTTGCTCAGTCTGTGCGGGCTATGAGTGGCTGCGAGCATCCACGTCACAACAGCAGGCTTACAGCCAGCCTCTCCACAATCCTGTGCATTGTGGGGAAGGTTGGGAGCAAATGTCCTGTTGTGTCCTCGTTCCATCTCTGCACTGGTTGGAGAAGCTCGCAGGACAGGGATGAACCACGTAGGCTGTTCCCTTCTGACTGCTTTGTCATGGGCCCTGCCTCACAGGGCTTTTCCTTGCAGATCTCTTTACTGCCAAAATAGCAGTGAAGACCCTAGGCGTGACAGATCCTGGTCCTCTAGCTGGGAGTTAAGTGAAAACTCCCTGATTTCATTTGAATGTTTAGGTTTGCTCAAACCAAGAAACCCAAACCAAACTTCAGAGGTCATGCAATGAAAGCACAAGAGCACTTGTTTTCCTCACCTCTTCAGTGATGCGGGAACTGCATGAGAGTAATCCTAGCCCAGATGTAATGCTGTAATCGCTGGACCCCTGGATATGGGAATTTACCCTCATAAACTAGGGAGAGGTGTCAGGCCAGAGCATGGTATGTGACCTCTTTGGCAGGGAGCTTGTTTGGCTTCGCAGGAAATGATTTGTTCATTTGTTTAGTTCTTGTTCAAGGTCCCACACCAGCGGCAGGCAGAGTAAAGTCTCCTGTGTGGCCAGCTGGCAACTTGGGGGCTGGCAGGGCAGGTGTGTGTTGGGAGCACCTGGGGGGACATGCCGGAAGGTGGGCTCAGCCCTCAGCCCGAGCCTTTGGCACTAGCACGGTGGGGCTCATGTGCTGGACTGAGCCTTAGCCTTGTTTCGGGGTCTCCACAAAGTGCCCTGAAAACGTCCAAATCTCCATACGTGCCAGCTTTTGGAGCCTCTTGGTGAAACTGCTGCAAAACCATGGGGATGCGTGCTGGGCTGGACACCTTGCTGGAGCTGTGTTTGAGGTAAATGCACCGCACTGCCTACAGTTGCTGGATCGTGGATGTTGGGATGTGGATACAGGATGCTCAGGAATGGGTTCAGTGGGGCACGAAGGCAAACAGTCACTGGCCTCCCCAGTGGTTTGTAACAGAGTGAATGCAAGGCTGCGAGGCCAGGAACAGCAGAATGGCTCAGCTGCTGTTACTTCCTCAGTGCCTGTGAAGGAAGATAGGCTGGTGGCTCCTTGTCTGCCCGTGCTGATCTAACTGCAAATGATCAGTCCTACCCTGTGCTGCTGGTGGCTGCTCCTTCCCTCGTAGCCTTCTTTTACATGGGCTCTGTCATTTCTTTGTCCCTTGTCTGAGTCTTTTTGGCAAGATAAACCAGCAGAAAACTAGCTCAGTATAAATAAAGGAAGTCTGATTCCAAATCAGCACACTGAAATGACATGGTGAGGATTTAACGCTCCAGGGCTGAACAAGAGTCCTTGGGTGGTGCCTGAGGTCAGGGTGGCCTGGCATATGGTAAGGCTGGCCTGTTCTGTTGATTTTCTCTAAGCCCAGTTTCAGGAGGTCCCTCCTGCAGCTAATCTTCAATGGTCCTTAATGTGGAGAAGGCTGCCTGGTCGCACCGACCGTTTTTGGTCACACTGTCAGAAGGAAGGACTTGGTTGGACCCGTCAAATATATATGGGATGTACTCATGGCTGTAGCCTCCTGGGAGTGTTTCAGGGAAAAAATCTGCCTTGGGATGGGAGAATGTTGATGAGATCAGCTGCCAGCACTGCAGCTGGGGAATGTGCCTTGCCCCTCAAGGTGGCCCTGCTTCCAAGGGCATTTTTCTCTGGTTTGTCTCTGTCCTTCTTTCTTTAAATTGATGGCAACTGCACGGTAGCAAGAGAAATAATC